CTACTGCTACTACTACGACTACTAGCTGCTCCGGCACATGTGATAAGATGCAACCCTGAGAAACATACAATTCCGAGTAGATTCCGAGACATGTCATGAGATGGTTCAAGACACTCCGGTGTGTATACTAGCTGTTACTCTCCGAAAGCTTCTGCAGGTGGGCTCTCTCAAACCCTCCTGTTGCGACAATCGAACACAGCATCATCAGCATCATTGTCTCCCTGCTTCTCCGAAAAATGCGGGACGACATGCTTCCAAAGGCGAGCCGTGACAGGAGATGTGGGCCTATGCATGCCCGAGTTTGCCCGGAGTGGGGTCAAGTCCTCAGCCAGCCACTCGGCCCGGCGAGTTGACAGAAGCAGCGTCCCACCATGCCCTCTGGAAAGGCCCTGCAGGAAGAAACTTCATTGCAGTCCGAACGCCCTCGCACAGGGGGCACATGAAGCTGGAAAGCTTGACAATGCCTGGCGCAGGTCTGCCAGCGCCAACTCATCCAGGAATTGCCTCACCAAAGAAACTCTTGGGTAAGGTCAACAAGCATTCTCGTAACATCGGAGAGGAGCGGTGAACCGTCGATGTTGGAGATGAAGAGCACCTTGTTGTTGCTCTAAGTTGGGAGGCGCAAAAAGCACAAATGAGGTTTCGGTGACTTTGTTTCAACTGAAAAATATGCGACAGGGCCAGACTTGTTTGTGGCTGTAAGCGTCAGGCTGTCGGTCCATCAGTGGGATGCATGTCTTTGAGGTTCATCCGCTGAAAAGACAGCGAGCCAGATGCGCGAAGATCCATCAACAATGCACGAAGTCGACAGTAGCCTTGCCACAGCGACAGCACCGACGATGAAAGACTCCATGGTACTACGTGGTCATCGGTGGCATGGCTTTCAATTCGCTTTGCTGCCACGTTGCTCATTTCCTCCCTCAGCCAACCGCACTCGTTTATGTGGAAGGCCTCATTCTTCTGGCCACCCAGGCGCCTGCCACAAAGAGATGTATTTGGACCCGACATTACTTCTACTGCGGTCGTGCTCTTGCACTCTCGCTGTCACATGCATGCTTTCCGCATCTTCTTTATGGTGTTCTGTGTTTTTCGTCCCCGGCTCTTGGACTTCTGACTCTTATTGAGCTGGTAGTTCTGCAGATATTTTGCAGCTGTGATAACATGGTGCTTGAGCCGTTGTTCTCTGCGGTCTGCACAACTGCTGTTCTGAAATGGAATTTTTGCAGACCTAAGCAATCCCGTGTCAATTCACGTCCTGCTAAGATCCGATGAATACAAACCTGCCGAAACCTTCCTGACATGCTACATCGTCACCCCGGCTCATGGATTACAAACCTCTTGAAATACAAACGCATTCGCAAATAAGAGGCTGTTGGAAAGAGAACTATCCCGGGCTATTTCAAATCTACGCCAATAAAGTTCTGGAACCCAAGCGACGGTGACAACCTGGTGCACACGAACCATCAGACTGAGAGCCATTCCAACAACTAAGAATCCTTCAAGATCTCATGCAACAAGGCCCCAAAAGTGCAAAGCCCTCCAGTTGTGTTGGGAACAGTCCCATCCCACCTCTGCGACTTTGTCAGGGAAGCAACGCAATTCCTTCTCTTGAGAAGCAGCTCGTGTTGCCTCAACACGCAAGACTCCAAGCCCCGGAATACGGCACTGATCTCTGACTTGGCTCCAAGGCTCCCGAACGATGGCCAGGCCACTGGCCAACCGCATGGTGTGGAGATGCAAGTAAACACCGTCCGATACAGTCCTGAACCAAAATATAGCAAAAAGCAACGGAACGAAAGACTCTGGCAAACCATTTCTAGTGTGCCCGCCAGCACACCCCCGCCTTGCAACTTGGCCGGCAGCTGGCATACGATCCTGGGTGAGGCAAACAAGCGGATACTTAGGATTTATCCAAATATACTCGCACATGCAGCAACTCCATCACAAGATCTTTCCAAGAACGACAGAGAGGTTGCCAACGCCCGGCCACTGCTTCTCCAAGAACTCACGGATGCACCAGTTGTGCCCAAAACAGACGGACCAGCAGGTACATGGCACGGATTTTGATGCGGATGCATTGACTACGGTCTTTGACTATTTGTTGCCCTTGGCCCCTGGCCCCGAAATGCGCCACTCGGTCTGTCCTAGTCGCACCAGGGTCACTACACCAAACCATTGCTCCCCCGTGTTGTCGCCATGCAGCCGTCGGTTTTTTTTTGAAGCCCGTCGAGCACTGCGTTTCCGATTCTCCGTCCCAGCCCTCCTGGTACCCTCATGTCACGGGAGCGGCACACAGATGTTACGCAAACCCCGAACCATGCCCGAGGTCTGAGCTCCACTCGAGGACTCGATGTCTCTATCCACTGGCAAATCGAGAAAGTCCATCATGTTTGAAGCCTTGGCAGACTGTGAAGCTGAGCACTGCGCATGGATATGACAGTGGAGCCACAACTGACTTCGATGTTCGTTCTCAATGGTCGAAAAGGCGCTCCAAGCACTCTGCTGAACTTCCTCTCGGAGCGCCCGAAGAGGGACCTGCGATCGAATGCGGCTCGCATGGCACGTGGATGCCGAAAACACTTTGGTTACTTCGGTTGCAGACGAGAATCGCCAGAAAGGCATCACGAGAACTTGCTAGGCACAGGAGCTCCAGGATCAGCTCGCCGTAGAGCAGCTGTGTCTCGTTGATGTCGAAAAGCGTGACTCTTCGAACCCCAACCTGCAGACACACTCCGTCGAGGTCGAGCAGCACTAAGCCTGCTCGAAGTAGCGGAAGGGTCCTGCCTGGGCCCTGGCAAGGGCTTCGAGGCTGTCGAAGCCACTGAGGCCTCCCACGACGCAGCGAAAGTCCTCCACAGGGCCTCCTGCTCAGGCGATCAGACAGGGGATAGAGCAGAAGCGTGTAGTTGCTCCTGGCCATATCCGCAGTAGCCGGCGACAGGTTGCTGCACGCACTGAGGCTGCCTCCACAAGCACAACAAACAAGAGGGCGGGATGGACAGCAGAAGAACTGGAGCACAGGCTTGAGCTGACTTCGGCAGGAGATGCATGTCAAAGAATCAGGCATGCACCATTCCCTGCGACATACATACATACATACATACATACATACATGCATACATGCACGCATGCATGCACGCGGCGTACATGCATACATACATACACACATACACAAATGAATATTTAGGTTAGACTTCTTTGGGTGGACGGCCGTGATGAGCCGTCAGGATCCTCGGCAATTCCGATCAACGTGATGATTCGGCCCGGAGACTTCCGTGATGCCACGCTCGCTTCGGCGCCCTGCAGTTTGCATTCTTACTTTTGGCTTCCCATCCTGCCCCACCTCAGTTAAAATTGAAACAGAAGAACCAGCAACCTTCGTGCACCGAATCGTCAATGCCTGCCTCCGTGCAGGCAATGTAGGGTGGGCGGTTCGGAACAGGACGCTGTTTCGCAGCCTGGCATCTTGCACAGGTTCACTCAGACTCTGCATTCTTCTCTGTCATCCTCTGCGCCTCGCCCGTCCTCACCCCTAATTTCTGAACATGGCACACATGGAGTTTGACGTCAACACGGATTGAGGACCTCGCGCCACATCAGGAATCGCTCTTCGAATCCTGCGTTTACCTTGAAGCACGAATCGCACCAGCTGCTGTTGCAAGATGAAGGATGCATAGGGGTAGCTTGCCGGCTTGCACATACATGCTGTGTCAGTCTGGTGGTTGCAAGCGTTTGAAGATCATGCAGTGCAACTTGTAGTTCCTGCTCCTGCGCGGTATGCAGCTGCACTCCTACTTGCCTCGAAAGCAGCGCTTAAGATATGCGAACAAGGTGCATGACAGCTTAAGCCCTAGACACAACCGGCTTCGCCAAGCTCTTCCAAGGCGCCGAAGCCAGTGGAAGCTGCCTTTCGAATGAGAGCGGCCGGCACACCCATACAATGGCCCAGGCCCAAGCCCAAAGAACCTGCCGGGTTGGGAAGCGAGAGCTACTTTTACCTGGGCCGCACTGGTGGCCTGCAAGCCGGATCGACGACACACTTGCCCAGCCATGACCCTCCATGGCACGATGTCAAAGACGAAGTGTAGGCTAGTAAGACAATGAGACTTCCGGACAACTCTGGAGCTTCAGGTCAATCAAGTCATATACCGAAAGAAAGATTCAAACGAAGGGCATGAACTGTCTACTGTCTTGCTTGAGTCTCTTCCACACTGACACCAGTGATCGTGCGGCTTCGTTCAGGACATGACATCGGGAAGTTGTAGATGCTTCAATGCTTCAACAAGCAGACATTGGCTTCGTGTTCAACCCTGCAAGGTATGAAGGAGGGCGGCAGACACCAACTGACAATCCCCGTGCCCCACTGCAGCTAGAAACTGACAATTCCCGACTCCATAGATGCACGAGAGACCTTTTGCTCTGATCCAGAAGCAACTTGCTGGCCATCTGGTTTTGGGCGCCAATGCTACGAGGTCCATTGCTCGGACTGCCATGAACCTTTGAGCCAATTCGAAACTCACACAGAAACCTTGTTTCAATGATCGAAGCTGCAGCTCAAAGGTCGAAAAGCCTCACGGACGAAAACTTGAGACCAGGCAGGAAAAGCAACCCCGACAGGGTGCTCCTGAGACTCGACTTCCTTCAGAGTGGGATTCCCCAAGTTTGGGAATATCTCCGCCTCAAATCACTTGAACATTCTACATGTGAAGTTTCTTGCAAGCCTGACGATACTTGCAGGCTCCAATGAAAAGGCTCCCGAGCCTCCTGACTCGAAGCCAAATTGGATATGCAGGGTTGCAGACACAGCTCTGCCAAAAGTACCTGGCAGCCTCAACATCTGCTTCTCAACAAAGGCCTGCCGATTACGTGTACCTCGGCACAGCCGGCAAGTCGGCAAACGGCTGACAGCAGTGTGATGTGCGCAGAAAAAGCGGTGCCTGCAGGGCCACTGCGCAGACACGAGTTATTAGGTTCCCACACTTCCACCATGTCTGCATTGCCCAATGCAAGCACCAAGGAGCAAAGTGGTAAGTACTTGTGCAGCAACAGCCAGCACAAATAAGCACTTCCCAGCATTACCTTGGCGTCAACCAATGCTTAACAGCCCATATCACGGAATCACATGCCATCAAGGCAAACCGCCAAGGCCGAGGATGCGAGCTGTATTAGGGCACACCCGTGTTACACTGTAAAAACCACCGCAATGACACTCTCAGTTCTGTACTCATGTGCTGAGCCCGACGATATTTCTCATGCCGTCTTGGGGCTTCCTTCATGTTTATGCAAGCGGGGGGATGTCTGCACACTGTTGCTTCGTTTCTGTTCTCGGACATATGGGTGGCGGGGTGGTAATGACGCTCTTGCCGACCTTAACCCTGAGCCCAAACCCTGAAACCCAGAATCTTAAGCATCTTGTCCGGAGAAGCGACATGTTTTGGGCATGGTCGCCATATGGGTGGGTGCTGCTACTCCCTGACACATAAAGAAAGAACGACATTAAGAACAAAGCCATGGAAAGAACGACGGAAAGAGAGAAATGACACCACAAAGACCAACAGATCGACAGAAATGTAAAAGCAATTCAACTTAGGAAGAAGAAGAAAACAACAGAAAGACCCGAGGAAAGCAGGAAGCAATACAACAAATACCTACACTGGTTTTGCCGCTTAGTACAACCTGGTGTAGAATCAGCACAACACCCAAACACTAGCTTACACCCCGCTTCCTACAAGACGAAAAGCCCAAGTCACACTCCGCGACGACACCGGACTGCATATCAGACTGCCCCAGTGTACCACATCATGTCATGTAATACAACCCACTGAGCCTCACAGGGCCGCATGCGTGGCGAGCGAGTCCCAAACTCGGGTTTAACCGTTTCAAAGACCGTCTTTCTCAAAGTTTCCAGCAATCCCGCCTGCTGGGGTCGTTTTTGAGATCCACAAGCTGCGTTTGATCAGTTTGCCAAAAGGCCAAGTTGCCAGCACTCAAAGACGGATTTTCGCTGATCATCCGCACACCGCCGCGCATGGCCAAGAGAAGGAGCAGCCTGTGCACATTGAAGGCTGCTGCACAACGCGCTTCAATAATTTTCTAATCGCGGAATCCATCTTCCAGGTAGGCAGGAAGCTTGAAGTTTTGAGCAACCCTGAAGTGAATACAAGAAGGATACAAGAACGCGATGCAGCAAAGTCTTCAGGTTAATTGAGTTTCGTGATCCGGGAGGCTGTTCTGCACAAGCTGCCCTGGGCAATGCTGAATCCCTGAGGTGTTTGAGCGGGGGCGGGCAAAGGCATGCATGCACGTTGTGCATCAGTTTTTCTTTGCTCCTCCACCATCTTGAATCGTGTTTGAACTCCTGGTGGCTAGCTACATCGGTCAATGTCCTAGCATGCTGCAAGGTTCGCACGTTCAGATTCGTTGAGGTATCGGCTTTTGGTAATGAAAACGCCTTTAACCAAGCAAGTAAGCTTGTTCTTCGCTTGTGTTTTTTCTGGGCATGTGGAAAAAACAATGAAGGGTCCCGAAAGCTCGAAGGGCCTACAGCTTCGCAGACTCCTCTCAGCCTTTGGGTTGCTTATGCAATCAGCGAGAAGCTGCCTTGGGGATGCGATATCAGGCGCAAAAGTCGGGTCTTTGGTTGCAGCATTCACAGAGGAACGGCTATGGACTGCAATCTAACAACGTCTTACGCGGTACTATATAAATTCTGCTGTGTATTCGTGGTTCCCGCTCTGAGGGTTTTACCTACGCTCTACCCGAGCTGCCAGGAGACGTGACATATATCTTCAGGCCCATGGGCAGGTCCTTGTAGCCTCAGTGGAACGAAATCACACACCGAGCAAGCACAGCTGCATCTTTCATTATCCCTCCAGGCAAGTCACACTCGAGGGAAGGGCAGCACGTTCCGCGCGTATTGTATGATACCTTCAAATGTGGTGACACATGCGCTTAGTGCCACCGGACAAACTATCCTTTTTTGACTAACCGCTTTGCAATGAAGTGCTCTTCCGGAGCTTCAGAACTTCAGGACCTGCATTAGTTGGTTCCTGCTTCTACCTGCTCGAACGCGAAACAAGCGAGCATGACAGTGAAACAGCATGTCGACGAGTTTCTACATGCCTCTGCTGATCTACAGGACCGGTTTACCCAAGCCGATATTATAGCTCTATGGCACACATCAGGCGCCGTGGTTCCCCTGAGACTTGCTGTGCCTGCATGCAGCACTACATTGGTTTTTGCAGGACTGCTACGCATCGATGTTGAAGCAGGCATTGGGTACAGTTAAGGCCAGGCGGAACCAAAACCGGATCATCGCGGCCCATCCCTGTCCTAAAGTGGCTGAACTGCTTGCTGCCACGGCGCCAATGCTTTTCCTGGGGCTACTTTTCAATCCTCTCGGATCAAAACGAAACCTGTCCTTCAACTACTATTGGGCAAAGGACTCGTCTGTCCGACCTTTGCTTCAAACTGTTGAAGACCCGCGAGGTCGAGCCTTGGAGCCCCGTAGGTTATTCAAGGTTGAAGGTAATCTCCCTCAACAGAAGACAAGTCGAATGACTACACCAGCTTGCAACAGTGCCACGCAATCCGGTGGCTGCGCCGGTGGCGCAACACGCACATACGAATCGAAGATGCCTGGACAGGAACCGGCTTGACCTTCACACTTGACTGGCTACGTTTTTCTTTTTTTGCACACGTGTACACAGTGTACACTTTCGTCCAGGGTTTGTTAGGAGCTGTTGAGGAGCTGCCATGACATGAACAAGCACCCTCGAACTGGGCAGTTTCCCCAAGGCAGCATTGGTCACAAAATCTATAAGCTTACAGAAAATCGAACGTTTACTCACATGGCTTGAAAGAAATCCTTTGTTCGAATATGTCTTGATTGTGTCTAGGACACCCGGAATCAGCTGTGCTTTGAAGCAACGGTGTTATCCCCAACCTGACGAATTCACAACACGTCGCTTTTGGCTCGACCCGGCTGACACTCCAGTTAAACTCAGCTAGCAAAGACGCTCTGCAATCCATTCTGGATTCAGTGCGAGCACGACATCACGCTGGTTGCCGATGCTGAACCTAACCTCTTGCCCTCTCAATGCTATCGTGTTCCTTGCAGCCCACCCGTCTCAACATGCGTGGAAAATTCAAAGCCGGGCTGACCAGCAGCAAATGCCGTGAAGGAAAATGCCAGATGATGATATGCTCCAAGAATATTTCGTGTTCTCACAAACTGGCTGCACAGCCCGATACCCTGAAAGAGAAGATACATGCTCTGCCCGGGCAGCCTCCCCTATTCCAAACAAGATATGTGCCACTACGTGCCAACACCAACCCCTTCATCAGTGGAGGAATTCATCCATGATCATATATAAATCCGTGCGTTGCAAGATTAGACCGAATTCAACAAACTAGATCGCGGAGACTGGCTACAGTCTTGCGCTGCAGTCCTTAGTCTTCATAGGGTTGCTGCCACATGGTGCGCTGAATCATCTCCTCTAGTCTAGCAGCCTCCTCTGGATCTTGCACTGCTTGTATCAGGCTCACCAAGGATATCGCAGAGGCTGAAGCAGATGCCGACCCTTCGGAAAGTTGTAAGCTGGTTGACCCAGCTTCTTGAAGTGAGTGCACCGAACTGGCATCAAAATCATGGGTGTGAAAAGCAGGGGAGGAAGCTGGATCGAGGTCTGCGCGCCCGTCACACGAAGCATGAATGTCCTCAATACTCTGCATGATAAACTCTTCGACGCCCTCGCGCGAATAGCCATCCAGCACTTTGATGCTCCTGCCACCACCCTGCCGGATGAGAGCGGCCCACTCTGAAGCTCGACGATACGTCTTGTTCGACTGAGCCAGGATGCACATCTCAAGATGGAATTGCTGTGATCGCGCAGCTGTCAGCAGGTTCACTCCATCAACAATGGGCTTTGCCTCACGCCAATCTGCAAGGAGAAGAACATTCTCAGTTGCCCTTTCAAGCCAATTGAGAAACCCTGTTGACTTCTTGTAAAGCACCAGATTCGAGCCGAAGCTCGCAGCAACTTCCTGTAGTTCGATCAATGTCTGGCCCTGGTCCGCTTTGTTGCACCGCTCATAACACCACACAAGACAAAAATTTGCTGAGCTTGCTGATTCCTGCGGCCGGCAGACGTGCGCGGACTGCGCAGTGGCCATGCGGGTCGCAGAGGAAAAATTACAAAACTACCAAAGAATGCTTGAGCAATCGAGCAACCGCTTCTGCAATCGGTTTGTGCCACCAGAAGCTTAGTTTGCCGTGGGGCTGCAGTGACCAAACAAGAGCGGCCACCGGCTGTAAGATGTTGACTGGGATCAGGCTTTGGCGTTTCGGGTTGAGGGCTTTGGGGCGTGAGGTTTGGGGTTTAAGCTTTAGGTGGGGTCCGCAGCACTCACACACACACACACACAGACACACACACACACACACTCATCAACAAAGCCTGCCTATTGCCAAGGACATTGCAAAAGTGACATCCAAATCTCGCTGAACATCATCTGCAGTCAGCTGTTCACCGGTCCAAAGTTTGCTGTAGGTCGCATTGAAACCTGAGGCAAACGCGTGTGAAAAAAAATATTGATCATGCTACACATGCTCGGCTCACGTTGGCTCCATCCAATTCTTCTGTTTCACATACTGATTCAAGGTGAATCAAAGCTTAGGCTACCAGTGGGCCATGGCTTTGCAAACAGCTTCCATCAAGCCAAGGAGCCTTCCCAGTTTTTCTGTAGCCAAAACATTGCTTCGAGACGTCCTTGTGAAGACTCTCAGGATGAAGGACGCCATTGCAGGACACATCCGAAAGCCTTCACGAAACCCGAACGAAGATGGACAATTTTGACTTCCTCGTCTTCGTAAAGAAAACACAGAAGGAAGCATGACACCCATATGGGCATCGCGAATCAACCCATGTTCTTGACAACTCTCGACCCTCTCTGCGAATGCATGGAAAGCAAAAGCAGCATACTGCTGGTTTGTATACCTTGCACACTACTTGCCTGTATCTCCGCTGCCACAGGCCTTCGTCGCTTCGCTCCTTCTCGGCTGTGCCTTGCCGGTTCCCGCCACGGGGCCCCGAGCCACCAGGAGACACGAAGCTGCACGGAGAAGTCAGGGCCTGAGGGAGAAGATCAATGGTTCACATGCACAAACTCGGGCTAAATTGACACCGTAACTCGCGGCACTAGGGCTGTCGGTTATTCGATGTGCACGACAAAGCAACAGTTTGATGCTGAGGACTCAAAATGACTGCATTATTGTATGGCCTGAGAAGAACTTGATCTTCCTGTAAAGTTGCTTGCATGCGTTGTTGACGGCGACAAGAAATCTGGTGAAACGAACACCGTCCTTGGTCCTTGGCCTAGGCATGCATGCTTAATTTGCGCCCCGCAACCTCATTGACAAGCACGGACACTGCAGTGATAATGCCCAACGCAACGCAACATCGACAGCAGCGAGATGCCACCATGGGATCTAAAATAATCTAAACTGAAGCTAAACTAATGTCAATCCATCGAACCTCTTACATGTCTGCCTTGGTTTCAACACCCACATCTTGAAATTCAGATGGATCTAATTCGCAACACGAAGCACGTGCGACAACTGCATGAAAGCATGAATTGTTGCGATCTAGAAACACAACTTGTGCGGCAACAGTAACTGCGGTAACCAGCAAAGATTCAAGCATGCAAACCGTGTGCATGAACAACTTCTTGCTGCTTCTTGATGTGACTTACGCATCACTTGACCACATCCAAAACCAACAAAAATCCCCGACACTTACGCACACAGCATGCATGCAAACGCTCACTTATCTTTCACCGGTGCTGCTCAGTTGCTGCTTGCTAAGCAGGCAAACAACTGTGTACCCTTTCGTGTAGGTGTGAGACTGGAGTCGCTACATGAGCGAAAACATTCGGCTTTTCTATTAGAGACACTCGTACTTAACTAAGGACTATAGTCCTCAACCAAGGAAAAGCCGGTTTGAATTAAGGTAGTAAAAACGTGTTTTTTTTGCAGTAGACAACTTTCCTGCTTAAGTAAGGTAGATTCGACGTGAGGTGCGGCATGGTATGTTGAATGTTAAGTTCATGAACTGCAGGCATCTTGTTTAACGCAACATGTGTGGGGAGGACTTGAATAATTTTCTGCGTTCGTGAGTGTAAAAAGTTCACATGCGGCATTCTGTTTAGCGTGCATGTGTTCGTGGTGTAAAGAATATATCAATGTAAAAAACATATTCAATATCCATGCACCATGTTTTGTCTACATACATGAAACAGCATGGTAACAAGGATAGGTCGACATAATGAAAAATTGTTGAATGTTTTTCCACATGCGGCATTCATCTTTTGTTTTTGCTTTACGCACGCACACACGGGCTGGCAGGATAGACTCTGACAACCACGCCGTCCATTTCGGTTCCATTACAGGTGAAACGCTGCCGCTTTGCGCTGCCATGTTTCGCGTGAAACAGGTTCAGGAACTACGTCCAAAGGGCAGTATGCCCGGACACCTTCCTCAGGCTGAGAAAGGGTCAGAAAAACTCAGTTGCAAGTCACCGAGGCAGTCTGAGTTGGACGCAGCATCCATTTGGAGATGCCCAGACCTCTTGCAAAAGCATCAAGGTCAAGAAGGTCGCTGGGCCCTTTGTTCAAATTTTTGCAAGGTTTGAAAGTGCTCCAACAAAGATGGCTTGTGCCTTTGCAGAATGGACTTGAGCTGGAAGAACAACAGATTGCAAAGCTTCTAGACGGCTTCCAGATTGATGCGCAGCAGGCAGCACATTCTCCACGGAACCAAGGACCGAATCCAGGTTTGTTTAGGCATGGACCAGCTCCGTACATCTCCTTACAATGTAACTGCTATGAGAGCCCAGACCTCTTCGCATGTTGTTGCATCGGGCAAAGAATGGTAGATAGAGCTTTAACTCGTTCCCTCCGGAGCCTTGACCTGCTGAAACAGGTTGAGAAGGAGCAGTTGTGTGTGCCAGCTGGGCACGAGCTCTCGGATGTGTGACCAGGCACCGTCGACACTGTGGAAGCCAAGAATGGGAACGGCGTTGCCAGTGGTCATGTGCCAGAGAGTGCAGTTGCTCATACGTCCTCTAGACCCATTCTATCACGTGGTGGCCACGACCGACGGGAGTCTCTGACTGCAGGCCTCGAAGGCTTGTCACAGTGAAAGAGATTGTCCCGTTCTGCATGAGTGCATAACATGCAGCACTTGCGAAGACCTGCATTTGGCAACTTCCATGAACAATCTTGGACTTTTCACTTCAAGTCTGAGCCTGTTCGTTCGCAATTTGGGGATTTTCAAACAGCCTGGAGAGACTTGCTCCAACAACGAGCAGGGCTGCAACGAAGCTGCCTTCCAAAGTAGAGAGATCCGAACATGGCAATTGTCACACGGTTTTCGCTTTAAAGAAGCGTTTTCTTGTTTTTTTGCAATTGCAGCCTAAAGCTAGCGAACAGTGGTTTCGGTGTTTGAGAGGCATGTTGTCTCAGTTTGCAACATCTTAGACTTCCAATGCGGAAGAATTTTGCTTCGATGTGTGGCAGCTTGCAGCACTTGGGCACGACATGAAAAACTCAGACGAAGAAGAGGTACAGTAAAAGAGACAGCACGTACCACTTAACAGACAACTTGCCCAACAGGTCACAGAGGAGACAAGAAGATCAGAGAAGACACAGAGCAGACAGAGAGACACAGAGTACGAGCACTAGAAGACATAGCAAAGAAGAAGAAAAAACACAGAGAATATGAAGACACATGGTCTGATTAAGATCAAGATAATGTTTTTCAGACTGTTGGTTTTCTCAGAGAAACTGGACTTCAGCCTCTCTCTCAGGTGAGAGCCTCCAACTCCCGCCACAACCCTGTTGAGTGAATCGGGATTTTAAAATTCGGNNAAAACTGCAACGTAGTCCAGTTTCGGGTCAGAGCACAGCACTGCTCTCGGCGATTTCTAGGCGGCCCGAAATCTGTTTGCAATCTTGCGCCAAAGCGGTCTCAAACACGGTCAAATCGTTTCCATCTTTGCTCAAAAAAAGCGCGCGCTTTCTTGCCGCCTGTGGCAACTGTGGGGGTACCTGTGGGGGTACTTGTGGGGGTACCTGTGGGGGTACCTGTGGCATATTTAATTTTGGAGAGAGAAAACCGGAAGCATGAGCGCGCAGCCCGGCATGGCGATGCAGCTCGTCAACATCCAGACCAATGCTGAGGGCGGAAAGTACCTGCCGCGACGTCGTAGGCGTCGCTGTCGTCCCTTCTGCACTCGCAGCAGCAAAAGGGTTCTCTGACACTGCTCGCCGAGCTTCGTCGGCCTTCCGTCTCGCTT